AAAAAAAAAAAAAAAAAAAAAAAAAAAAAAAAAAAAAAAAAAAAAAAGGAGACAAAGATATAAAAAAAATATAAATATAAATATAAAAGGAGACAAAAAATAAGAATAGAGACAAAAGGAGACAAAAAGGAGACAGCAACTATCTGTCTCTTCTCTCCCCTCATAAACAAAAGAAAGAGACAAAAGAAATATAATAAACAAAAATAAATATAATAAACAGAGACAAATATAATAAACAAAAACAAATATAAAAAACAAAAACAAATAGAGACAAATATAATAAACAAAAACAAATATAAAAAACAAAAACAAATATAAAAAACAAAAACAAATATAAAAAAAAGAGACAAATATAATAAACAGAGACAAGCATAGTATATATAGACAAATATAGAAAACAAAAACAAATATAATAAACAGAGACAAATATAATAAAGGGAAACAAATACAATAAACAAAGACAAATATAATAAACAGAGACAAGTATAATAAACAAAAACAAATATAATAAACAGAAACAAATAGAGACAACCACAATAAACAAAAACAAATATAATAAACAGAAACAAACATAAGAAACAAAAACAAATATAATAAACAGAGAGGAGCATAGTAGATAGAAACAAATATAAAAAAAAAACAAATATAACAAACGGAGACAAAGATAAAAAACAGAAAAAAATATAAAAAACAGAGACAAATAGAGACAAATATAATAAACAGAAAAAAATATAAAAAACAGAGACAAATATAACAAACAGAGACAAATACAATAAACAGAAACAAAAACAATAAACAAAGACAAATATAATAAACAAAAACAAATATAAAAGACAAAGACAGATAGAGACAAATATACTAAACAGAGACAAAAGTAAAGAACAGAGACAAATATAAAAAACGGAGACAAATATAATAAACAGAGACAAATATAATAAACAGAGACAAGCATAGTATATAGAAACAAATATAATAAACAGAAACAAATATAATAAACAGAAACAAATATAAAAAATAGAGACAAATAGAGACAACTACAATAAACGAACACAAATACAATAAACAAAAACAAATATAAAAAAAAAGAGACAAATATAAAAAACAGAGACAAATATAATACACAGAGACAAACCCAATTAACAAAGAAAACAAATGCAGAAATAGAAAAAAAATAAATAGGAGAGAAACATATATATATATATATATATATATATATATATATA